AATCCACAAGTTGAAACTTTTATTTGGTTTAACACGATTGGATTGGCTTGTAGTTGGAGTAAGAAAACCCTAAAACCAAACCAAACCAAACCAAACCAAACCAAACCAAACCAAACTAAACTAAACCCAGTCAAGTTAAGCCGAACCGAGCCGATCCGAGCTGAGCAGAGCATAGTTGAGCTGAACTACTAACTACAGTGAAGCTCATTAAAAGTTAATTAAAATTTTTGTGTACGGTGCGGTACAGAGGCATGAGGCGGTATAACAAGTCGTTGGGATATTGGGCGTTGGGAATGCATGAAGTAAGGAAGAAATTCCTTAAAAAGTATTTGTGGCTAAAGTAACAAGGGTCAAAATTAAAACTTCAAATAAAAGTTTCATTTCCTCTGCTACTCTGTAACTCTACTATTCCGTTACTCAGCTATTCTGTTACTCAGCTATTCTGTTACTCTGTGCTTTGTACTCGTATTTATTATAGAAAATAACTTCAAGTCTCGAAACGTGCTTAAAAGGAAATAATTTTGTATCAAATTACCTTCGTAGTTGTCGAGCATGGAAGTTACAAATTTGGGTCGGTTAATTATCTGTTAAGCAGAAATGTTCCTATTTTCATAATTTTCTGGTAAAATTGGTGTAAAACCAAAGCAATTAGCAAGTGAACTTTTTTTTCTAAATAACTACAACAACAACGTACAGTATTGTATTTGTTGCTTTTTTGTGAAATCATAGAAATGACAAACTAAGTTAAACAAATATTAGCTTAAGTGTTTGTTTACAGGAGATTTTAATTAATATTTGGTGTCAATAGAATTTGACACAGTCTAGATATTGTTACAAGTTTCTATGAGTTTTTGGAACGGAAACAAAAAGAATTTATGTCACAGTTTTATGGGATTTTGATCCTATAAAAATGCTAAATATTTGTTTACTCCACTCTTAGTTTCCTTTTGGGAAGCACTTAAACGCATTTAAAGTACCAGCTTAGGTACGTTGTTCAAGTCAAAATATTTTCTAATTTTAATATAACACAAAAACTATTTTACCTCATCACTACATGACCCTAGGCTACATCAGCACTCCATGGCAGAGTTAAAGTTTACTGCTATGTAAATTGAAATATTTTTTCGAATACTTACTTGAAAGTTTCATAATGATGACGATCCATATTGCCTATCAGAAAGTCAAATACAGACATATCCATCAGATCTAATAAACGACGTCCATCATCATATGGAGGTATATCACGCACCTGAAAGGATATGAAAATAAAAGAATAATGTGTGAGATTAATATTGAAGATTTTAGATTATTAATTATCAGTTATAATTAATAAAATATATAAATATTAAATATTAAAATATTAATAATTAAAAACTAAAAATGTGTTAAAATAAACTAAAGAACTAATGTTAATACAAATATTTACAAAAAAGGATTTGAGCTAATTACTGCAAGTCACACCAGAGTCAGCTATGGCTTAGTTGATGTACCTATTATCATTTAAAATAGACCATAAGTTGATATTCTTTTCTACTTTATATGGTTCTGTGTATTAAATGAATATCTCAGGGACATAGCAAGTAGTGGCTATCATGTGAAGGTATGATATTTTTTCCTACTTTGTACCCTAAATGTATAAACTTGAAATTTAAAAGAGTCTGGTCACATGATAGTTCTGCCTTCAGAACAGTGTTTAGAGAATTTCCGAGTTAAAGCATTTCTTACTAAGTTCTATTAGGCATTATCCGGTACTGTTTGGAGTATAACTGATAATAAGTGCGTTTCACTTTTGGCACCAGACCGAAAGTGTAAATCTGGTACCAAGGGGATTAGGGTCAACAGCTTTAGGTGTCCTAACCGATAGAGGTTAGCCGCTTTAATGATAGTAAAGTCGCAGCTTTGGTTAAAACCCAAATCTAAGCAAGTATAATAATGTATTTATTACTTTTATTCGATGTGAAGTTTCATTTTCCAATTGGGTTCTGAACTTAAAGAATAGCAGATGTGTTCAATAGGCCTCTCCCCCCACCAAGGATGAAACTATATCCAAACGTATATGACCAATTGCTGTCGGTAGATCGCTTTGAAATTTCAATGAAACTTTTAAATGCTGCACGAAGGTCTTACTATTTTTAAATAACACTGTTTGCTTGAGAGTGTTCCTTGTAGAAGAAGGTGACGTTTATCATATTGTTATTTTTTATAGTTTATCGAATTACAATAGAAATTTATTAGGTATGGGGACTCGAATTGAAATTAAATGCAAAAAAGGGAACACTTACTTCTTATAAGGAAATATATATATATCACTAAATAACTCTTCTAAGTAGCATTAGACTACCTATAGTACAAAAGTCCACTATTTGACCTAAGTTGCCTTCGGACACAAGGCCGCCATTCCAATCTAACCTGACACTAGAATATAATGAAGAAGTAATGCTAAATACCTGGAACTCGTTCTTGACAAGAAGTTGAATAGGACTATGAAATTGACTATAAAATATTGACTATAAAATAATAATAGGTTGTATGATAAATATGTATATGTGTATATCACATTCCTTTGCGTATTAAGAATATTTATCACTATCCCTTAATATTGAATACTGTATATTGTGTTCATATATTTATGAAGAAATATTATAGTTGACAAAGTTTGGCAAGAATATAAAAATCAGTTTCATATAATTATTTTTATGTTTTCGGTGCTGTTAGCTGTCTTCTCATCATTTTTTGCTATTTTGTGTTTGTATCTAGAAGTTTGACTCTTGTTTATTTTAATAAATCTATTCGAGCTAAGTTGAGCATTAACTACTTGTGTGAGTAAGTGCTCAAGCACTAACTTTGTAATTAATATGCATTTTAATAGGTTCATTAATGTGATTAGTGATTCAGTTTAGTTTGTTTTTATATATTTCATTTCATAAATATACTCAGTATATTAAGCTACTCTTATTTTCATATTTTTAAGTGGTACATAAATAAGGTAATTAATTCATTTTTTTTATTTTTGCAATGGTTTAATTGTTTGATTGTAAATAACTATTGACTATCAGTATGTCTACTATAGTCTGAAGTCATCCTAAATATAATTAAAAGAACATTTTTAAAAATATTTTTTCTGTTTTTTTTTAAACTAAAATAGTAAACAAAAATGTTGATCATTAAAAAAATAATTATTAAAGTATTTAATAAAGTTTTATGGTAACGAAAGCCATCTTATATAAATAATGAAAACATAAATCCATTAAAATTCAACTTAATTCGTTAAGTCCGGTTCTTAATTCAAACATAATTCCATTATACTTCTACTTAGGTATTCCACTTAATCCTATTTTTTATTGTTTACAGGATTAGACTTTAAAGGATTTAGAATTTATAATCAGTATATGTTGAAATGTTTTGTGTATATGTCAATAAGAAGATCAGGAATGCATACGTAATAGATTACACCCATTTTTTCTATATAACTATTTTTACAAGAGCAAAACCAAGTAAAAATTAAAATGAAAAAAACATTTAAAGAATTTTTAAATCATATACAATAATAAAAAAAGCTTATATATATAAATTGCATTTAAAGGAATATAATACGACAGTGATAAAAAAATATACGGTGGCACATATAACGCATGTTGCCATGATAACCATACTGAGTAAGTCCAATAAAAAGATACTAATGAAGAGATAAGCCAGTGCGAGTGGCATGTATTCCATTTCTCTTGTATTTTTTTATTACGTTTTTATTTTTTTCCTTACTCCTTTTTAAAATGTTTTAATTCGTTGACTAGAGCTTCGGTGCAACTTACCATGGAACAGTAGCTAGCATCCGTTTCCCATTGCGCCTTTCTACGTTTATGATAGGAGCGACGCCAAGGATGGCGCCAAACCTGCAAAGAAATGAAAGCAAAATTAAATATTTAAATTTAAAATTTCGAACTTCAATATTTTTGTGTTTTATTTCGTTTTGTTTGATTAAATCTTCAAAAAAGACAAAGCGAAATAAGGAGTTATGCTTTTACAAGCTGTGAATAAAATATATATTAAATTTAAGAGAGAATTTTTATTAAGAAATCTACAGAACAGTGAAACTGAATATTCAACATAAAAAATCCTTATACTGTAAATATATCCGTGATTTCTGACTCAAAAGAGTTAAGTCGTACAATGCTTTTTCATATGAGAAAAGAATAAGAAATCTAGAATTTAAATTAAATTCTAAAGTTAAAAATACTAAACAATACAATGACAAAAATTAGTCTTAAAATATACATTTTTTTTAGCAACTCTAAGCGAATTTCGCATCCGCACCTGTAATCCGATATACCATGAAGGCGCACACAGCGCATCGAAGAAAGTTGTTCAAATTTAGCGGAAGTTAAAAGTTAAAAACAATAATTGCCAAGAAACTGCAGTTTTGTGCTTTTCACAGGAAGCTGCAAAAAAGTCGTTATTTCGGTAGGAAATTCAGTGCAAGTAGAATTAAAGTAGATTCTACTTAGCGAGTCGCGACAAATAGCAAGGCTGAGGAGGCGATGCAGCGGTGCTGCCACTGCAATGGTGTATGCGGAAACATTGAAGCAGTGACAAAGTTAAATGATGATAATAGCAACTTATATATGGCCTTCCTTTCGCTAAGGTGGCTGATACAAAAACTGCAAATGAGCTATTTTCTTAAAAGTGCAAGACAGGAATAATGAAGGTTGCAGGATGCCTTGGAAATGCTTTGTACAGTGACACGTGTCAGTAGCGTTCTTTTCTTTTTCTTGTTAAAAACCTTTTTATCCTTTTGGTAAAATTAAAAATTATAAAGCAAAAAGTACAAACATAATAAAATTTTTAACAAATTGTGGCTTAAAAGCTCTGAAATGAAGCATCTGAAGGTAATACATGCATTTGTGATATTTTTTTATAAAAAATTGTTGCATCCTTTCAGGCGAGTTTAAACTATCTGGAATTGATTTGTCGGAAATTGCATTGAAGTTGAAGACAATATTATATAAAATGGTTATGTTGATGATAGGGGCTTGTTTGCAATTATCGTGTAGCTTCTCATAATGAATGATCGCAAAATAAAACTAGAGCCATCCTGTGCAGTTTATTTAATTAAACAAGTCTTTTGTGTTTAAGGATGAATAGTCCGATACTCTACTGGTGATTCGTTAATCCTATTCCCTAAACTGAAGGCCAGCTTTCACAGAATGTGAAATTTTTTTTTCATGTAAATTTCTTCAGCTTCTATAATCAGTTTTAAGTAATAAGCAGTTTATCTGCGTAATTTTTTATATTCAAAGTACTTTAATCAACGTAGCAGCAAATATACATTCCAAGTTAATAAGGTTGAGTTCTGATCTTAATATATTTTATTAGTTATATGACTGATTATTTTCTTAATTGTGTTATGTATAATATTTTTTTTGCTTATTATACACACATTTTCGACCGTTTTTAGTTTATTTGTAAATTAATTACACAAATTACACATTCTGTGACGTTAAATTGAATTTTTGTGTAATTGAAATATCAACAACGGCATTAATCACGCCTAACGGAAGAAAAAAACAAACGAAATGAAGTTTCGTAAATGAAATCTGAAAAGGGGAAACTTAATTAATTATGCCACACCCACATGTGCAGTGGGCGTTCTTGTGAGTTGTCTGCGGGTAAGTGCAAAAATTATGACAAATTAATTGTGTGTGATTAATAAGCTGAATACGATTATTATTATAATTACTTCTTTTGGTTTTTGTGCCGAATGCGAATTCTTGGAAGAAGGCAGAGAATACTTTTATTTAAAGATGTAAAGAAGTTTTAGTGTTAAGATTCAAAAAAGATAATATTAATATTAATTGTTTACATGGCTTTTAATTAAATTTTAGTAATTTTAATAGAGTTATGAACAACGCATTCACATAATTAAAACATAATTTATCTTATTTCTCACATAATTAAATATTTTTCTTATGTTATAGACACTTAAGAAAAGTTTAATATTTCGGTTAATTTTTTATATATTAATTAAATATAAAAAAAAATTATCCTTTATAATTTTAATAAGTTATTCAAACTTTTATTTTTATAAATAAAGAATTTTTTTTGTGTAAATTTTACATATTAAAAAGGTAAAGGACAGAATATCCTTTCGTGTACGAAGACTTTAAACGTTGTCTTTGTTCAAAATTATAACATTTTAATATACTCCTTTTTTCTTTTTATACTGATAAGATTCAGTAATTTACTAAAGGAATTCCTTAAAACGACAAAAAATATTTATAAATAAAAATGAAAATAAACAAAATGAACAAAAAATTGAAGAAAACGAATAAATTAATGGTGGGTCCTTTTTCAAATAGAGCTGGCGGAAGGAGCATCATTTGTAATTTTCTTAATTTTTATGCAAATAAGATATTTAAATATGCTTATTGCATTAAAAAATATTTTGGGTTTTAACAAATTTTTGCAGTGACTTTGATTAACACAAGGCTTTGAACTCATTTTTCAATTCAAACATAATTAAGTTTAGTATTCAAAAAATTTTAAAGGACATTAAAATGGTATCCTTTTAATTATTTTGTTATCAAAATAAAAAAGACTTAAAGATAATTATGCATATAATTTTCCATTGTGTACAAAAATACATTAACCAGTATTTTTTTAGTATCATTTCAACTATTGTAAAATTGGTATATTAGGTTTGAAAAGTTATTGGTTCGGATGAGGTACGAAGGAACATTAAACATTTAGTATAGAAAAATAATTCCACTAACAGATTTGTGTTTATATGAATATTTTAATATTTGACTTTAATCTAAACTGGAGAGAGAGAAATTTGATTTGAATCCAGAGAAAGGATAACGATAAATAGATGATAAATTTATTATTCGAATTCAACTCATCGTTCATATATGAATGAGTAATGGATTTTCTATAAGAAAACAATTTCAAATGTGAAACATTAAAGATTTTAACTGATGACATTATTGGAGTGTATTTATTCGTATAGGTATCAGGGTGTATCCATGCGTCTCAAAAAGCATCTTTACATAAATGTCATCCTCAAACTTCTCGTGGTGATCCCTGTTTTAATCATATGAGGTAAAAGCGACCGAGTCTTTAGCGGTATGAAGACTGGGGCAGGTCCGAATGCCCGAAATCTAACAATCTTTATGTAAGGTAGCAAACCTACCACTGAAGTAGGATGCTTTGGTGTAATCTGCCACTGCATTTGACTTTTAAATGATTCGAGTATTCACAAGAGCAGCAAGAGCAGTATTCCATTCACAAGGAGTGGAAACTTGATGGTTAAAGGGACAAGATTTGGACAATGGAATGTACGTTCGCTTTTCTAAACTGGAAAATTTTTCCAGCTGTCTGCTGTCAAAGGCTTAATATTGGTCTGTTAGGAGTAACTGAAGTTCACTGAAGTGGGAGCAGTGAAATTTGTATAAATAATGGAGGCAACTTTTTTTCTCTGCCTGGTGAAACGATTCGCACAATAGAGGTGTGGGAATTTATTTTATTTATTAAAAAAAAAAGTGATTAGTGGTCTCTTAATTTAAACGTTTAAGTTAAACTATTAATTAATAACAATTTCTTAATTACAATTAGTCTATACTAGTTGTATATATTATAAAACAGTTTATAAATATCTTTTATTTAATTTTTTTGTTTATATTTCACTAATATTTAATATTTTTATATAACATAAATTTTTTTTCTTTTTTCCCTTATTCACATATTTTAATTTTAATAATACTCTTGCTGTCGCTTATTAAATTTCCTTTTAAAGTTGTGACATTTATTTCGCCTTAAGTCTTCTTGTCTTCTCTCTACTCTTCTCATAATTAATTACGCAGCATCATATATAATTATATAAAAATTATACAAAAAGTACACAAAATTCTGTATGAAAACTCATTATTCAAAAACCATTTAATCATTGCACCTGCTAATTAATAACAAGGAAATCCTTTTCACCGAAAATATCATAGAACTCACCTTTCGTCCTGTCTGGTCAAAAGCGGGCAAAAATGCAGCAAACGAGCCCTCTAACATGTCGGGGTTGCCACAAATAGCATGCGATGTGTCGCAGTAGTAGGAGCATTTGCCATGGAAGCACAAATTGGATGATGGCGAGACAAAGAATGTCTTTAATAAATTATCATCGGCCACTTGATATATTTCGGTGGTGATGTTAAGCAAACGTCCAGTAACTGGCATTGCGCGACGGAAACCAAGGATTCTGTAAAAAATATAAATACATGGATTTAAGAAAGAGATAAAAAGAAGTTCGTAATATAAATTTATCATAACAACCAGCAAAAGATGTTGTAAGGATAACGAAAATATAAAAATAAAAATTAATTTTCTTCTATACAGAATACAAAAAAAAAAGAGGAAAGTTTTTTTTACAATATATTGGCTGAAGCATTTTTTATGGAGTTGAAGTTTAAACCATGCAAATGCTACTTTAAGAAGTTCCAAGAAATGTTCGTATCCACGTGTGTGCACCTTTGTGGGTTACAATGCTGAGTAAGTGGAATTTTTAACAATGTAAAATGCTTGTTAAGCTTCTCATGGTTATGGGAATGTTTTGCCTTTTTCGTTTTGTTACTCATACGAAGGGTGTTACGTAGGGTGTTACTGAGATGTGTTGTAAATTGTAAATTGCGTTTCTCTCCAATCCTTTTTTATATATTTTTATTTTTACTAAATTTTTAAGAGTTTAAAGAAATTTAAGTTTTCTCTTTTTTATGAGAAAATTCCTGTCACAATTTAACAAGCATTTGAATGATGTTAACATATTTTTTTTCTCAGAAAATTAACTTGTTAAGCTTCATTCTGATATTGTCTTTAAAACCCATTTAAAATATTTCAACTGCATCCTTGCTCCCAAACTAATTTATTTTCGTGTATTTTAATACATTTTGCCATATTATTCTTGCCTAAAATAAGTCCACATTTTCCCTCTTGTACTATTATGTGTTGTCTGCTTCATGTGAAAAAAGGATTTCTCGTGTCAGAACGTCTCCTTGTTTTTTTGTTTTTGGTATATTTTACTTCTTAGAAATGATGTATGGCCTCTTGGCATTTCTCTGTTAACATACATGAGCTTTTTGTTAATATAGCATTTAAGATATTATTAACATGTTGAGGTATTTATGTGCAATATATTTCACGTATAAATATTATAACTCAAAAATGCAAATTACGAAAATTTTCAACCTCTTGTCTATGCGAAAATAGATACTTTATTACTCTGCCATTAAATTATTTAAAAAGCATTTTTAATTAAATATAATTCAAGTAAGCAATGCCTGCGTTTAATTCCAACTTAGGTCTATTCCAAAAATCGACTTAGAAAAAGAACTTGAATACTTCTTAAATTTACCAAAAATGTGGTACTCTATATGGTGCTCAGAGGGATGTTTAGATATATCTGATACTGCTAGTGGCTAATAGGTCCTCGACAGTCAAACTAATTATTAGTTTGTGTAATAAATAAGTTACTACCGGTTTCTTGGTAGATTTATTAACAAAAATTTTTTTTATTCAAATTAAATTTTGATCACGTATATACTGGCTACTTTTGCTTTTTACCTCTTGTTTTTTTTTGAGTAGCATTATTATTCCATTGATGAATAAATTCAATGATTTTTCGGTGAAAAACTTGACTAAGTGATTTTCAACGACTCTTTATTTGGCCAATTATTTACCTTTAAGAAAGTTTTACTGAGACTAAAACAAATTGAAGTCAGATGATGGATGATCTGGACTTTACGGTGAATGAATCAAAACTTTCCAAACAAGTTTTGAAAAATTATTTCAAGTTACCAGACGTAAATGTATGATTTAGTCTGGCATATACATAATGAAGTTCAGCTCTTCTTCTGTTTCCCAGTTCTGTTTACCTTTTCTCAATCCTTTCATTAAAGTGGCCGAGTTGTAACCACAAGTTTGCTATAAGCAAGCAGTAGAAGACCTCTTTAATAGGTAAGAGCAGCTTATAATAGAAAATTTCGTTCCAATGCCACCAAACACTCAACATAATTTTGTTGCCGTCAGTCCTGACTTTAAAGACGTTTGTAAATGCAATTCTTTTTCTGTTATCCAATTCTGTATACCTTCTCATGTTTGTGTTATTCAAGCGGTGGAGTTTTGAGCGGTAGTGGACCGTTGCATTAGGTTGGAGTAATTCGTAATTCAAAATTCCCATCTAATCCAAATAATCATTCAACATAACCTTGCTTGCTGTCAATCCAGGCTTTTGAATTCGTTTGTGGAGTGTCATCAGTCTTTTTCCATGGTTCATCACCCATAAAAATGTTTTCGAAAAATTGTTCAATTTCGTTGTATTTTAGAGGCGTTTTAATGATATTTATTCGGTTCATCAAATTTTTGCATTAATGCATACGGTACCTAAACATTGAACCTCTTTGTGTAGTCTGCTGTTTTAAAATGATTGCAATCTGTCATTTGGTTGATGTTTAGTGATTTCGCTATCTTCTAACAGCTTGCGTGTTGGTATTGCTGCACCAATTGAAACATTTCATCGACATTTTTAGTGACTGGTCAACCACAATGAGGAATTTGTTGAACTAAGATCAGAATCTTTGAATAGAGTGAACCATCATAATAGAATAGAGTAAACAGCATAATATGTTGTTGCAGCAGTTTCAACTCTTTTATAATCATAAAGTTTTACATAGAGTATTTTGTCAAATGTTTTGCTAAATATTATATGAATATAACTTCTAACAGTAGCCAAGAATTACTTAACTGCCTTCACAAAAAATTTCACCTTATAATGTCACCTCATAAATACGTTTTTGTTTAACATAAAGGGATGAGGCAGTTATATGAGTACCAACACCAGCTAGTTACTAAAGACCGTGTATAAACACCAATACAAATATTTAATTTAACACATTTATATATTTAATATTAACACTTTATATTTTGATCAATTTAATATTAAAATATGGCTCTATTACGACAACACTAAGAAATGATATCAATATATACAATATATGTGATACTCCAAATTTCGAAATGGAAAATATTCAAGAACAAAATTTTTAATTTGTTTTTTATTTATAAATACAAAATTAAATTTAAAAATATTTTTCCAAGTAATTTTGCAAATAATTTCAACCACAAACAAAACATGCCATTAAGTGCAAATTTCCCGCATAAGTGTTGGCAACAGAAGAATGTTAAAAAATAAAATTGCTCATACGCTACGTGGAGCCCATAATCCAACAACACTGTTTAACTACTGTGTATGTGTAGGCTAAGAAAATATTTCTATAATATTAAAATAAAAAAACAGTTCAGCAGTGCTTCCTCGTGCATTTTGTGTAATTTTTCTTATCAAACAAAGCTTAAAACCCACCAGTAAAACACAAAATGTAAACAATCACAACAGAAATTCACGAAATTTTACACTTGGCGCAATCAAATTATAGCACCTATGCTCAGCACACCTCCCAAAGAGTACAATAAAGTTGTTAAGCAAACAAAAGGAAAAAAGGAAAACAGGAAAAAATTGGTGAAAACAGGAAAGAAGAACTCAAAAACATCGAAAAAAAAAACATAAAATAAATAAAGGGAATTAAATAAGCAATCTTACCTGTCCAAATGGAAAGCGGCTATCTCAGCATTGTGACGTTCATAGTCTGTAAAGTAGAAATGATTCGGTAGAGTTTGTTGGTCCCGGGGAAATCTGTAAAATAAAAAACAAATGAGAAATTAAATTAAAACAAGAATTTTATAAAAAAAACAAAAAAAGAAGACAAAAAACAAATACAGTAGATAAATAGTAGCACAAAATAAAACTGAAAGCTCAGAATGCTCAAATGCTCCTGACAGAGGAGCTCTGTTAACGGATGTGTGATATGGAGAAATGTTGGTATCAATGTGTGATATACTATATTTGGTAATAATGCTTCTGTTGGGTTATATGAGCATTATGTGAAATAAATGTTATTATACGTTTGTTTTTGTTTGTTTATGTGCCAGTATGTTTGATGGTTTGATATTTTACTCTGTAATGCTCTTAATTGCATATACAATAGGAAGTTATGAAATGAAATGAGTGAATACTTAAAAGACAACACAAATAATATTAAAAGAATAATGATAGTTTGCTTTTGGTTGTGATCTATTTCATTTTATTTTATTTCGTTGTTTCTCCTTGGCACATTTAAAGAACAAATTGCTTGTGTATTTATCTTCCATGACAGTGCAATTATGCAAAATGTCTGATTTCCTCTTCCGTTTGCTTTAATTTCATTTTCTGACACTACAATTTTATATACTACACTCTGATATTTATTTATTGATGTCATACATAAAAAATTAATTCTTTTCCCTTTTTTGTTTTTGTTATTATTTTGATGGACATATGTGTATAAGGAATTTTCTTAGTATGCGTTTGTTTTATAAGAATTTGTTTTAGAAATATAAGCTAAAACTATTACATTTGATATTAAAGTCAACTATGAGGAGAGAAACTAATTTTCTATTAGAACCTTATGGGAACCTTAAGTTTTATTTTTGTATCAATCAAACAAAATTTAAGGTGCATCTTATCTTCTTCACAAAACTCAAAAGTTAGTTCAATTATTTTATTTGTTCTTTCTTATGTATAGAAACTAATCTAGGAACGTAATGCTGAGAAAGATATTAATGATATCTAGAAGCAATATTAAAATACGCAGATGCATAAGGAGGTTAAGATCATTTATGCGATCCAAGCAATAGACGAATATTTTTAATCCTTATTGAAGTGCTTCTAAAAATAGATCAATAATTCTAAATCACTATTGTAGCGATCCAAAAAATAGATCAATATTTTTAAATGCCTATTGCAGCGAACACAAAATTAGATAAATATTTTTAAATCCCTATTGCAGTGATCCTAAAAATAGAGTCCCTATTTGGCGATCCAAGAATTCTAAATTATTTTAAATCCCATAAATCCGTTAAATTCTTTAAAGTCTTAAATTAATAAATCTTTTGATTTAATATTATAACCGCAGATATAAAAATTACTGAGATCTAATTGACTACTATATTTTTAAGTAATATGTATTATATGAAGATTTAAATTGCAATGCAGATGCAGAATAATAATCTATATTCATGGATTATGTATAAGGAAAAAATTGTGTATCTTTAAAAAGAAGTCGAAAAAGTCGCGTAGCGAAAAGATTTTTGAGTTCATTTCCACATTAAAAACCTGCTTCAAAAGAGAAAGATCTTTTAAAATCAGTAGAGATAATTTTTTAAGTACATACTCATAAACATTTAAGTAAACAATTGAAACAACCCATACAGGTTTTTTTGTATTATAAACAAATTCTAAGTGAAGGAAAGACATTTAGTCCCTCGAGTGAGAGCTAAAATGTCAGCTGTTAAACATTTCTAATTATCAAAAAGGAATAGAAGTTTATAGTTAAAGTGTTTTTAATATCAAAAGTGGAAATTAGCTTTTCATAAAATATCCTGATTGAACAGAAGAATTGAGATCTTCAAATGAAAACTAAAATATCAACTACAAATGACTTCTTAATATCCAATTGAAGACTTCAACTTAGTATTCTCATTCTGACGAAGCTGACGATATTAACATAAGCTGTTGGAACGAAAGCTAAAATATTAGCTGTTATTGACTTCTTGATATCAAATGGGAACAAGAGCATTTGACTCAGCATCTTCCTGATTGAGCAGAAGACGTTTAGGTCTTTGCATCATGACCAGCATATCAGCTCTAAAGGACTTCTTATTATTTATAAGAGTATAAAATCTTTCAAATTTTTAATATCAGATGTGAATAGAAACTTTCAGTTTAGCATCCTTTTTGTGTTTAAGCAGTAGATATTCTGCTCTTCGAATTAAAATCTACGATGTTGCTAAGAATAAGTTAGTATTAAATGGAAATGGCAGCTTTCGTCTTAACATCCACATCTTAATTAATTAGTAGACATTGAGTTATTCCAGTGAAGCTCAAAATATCATTGTAAAAACATCTTTAGTATTACAAGCGGATAGAAGCTGTCGGTTTTATATTCCTTATCTCCTATCTCCTATTAAAGCCTAACAGTTACAAAGAGTGTGACAAGACATCTATCGCATTTGCCATTTTTAAAATTTAAATGAAGTAAATAAACCGTTGAAGGCTTAAATATTCAAGCTCCTTGAATATTCCTTCTATCGGTGAATGTTTTTAATATATTTGTTTATTTAATTTTTATTGAATTATAATAAATAAATTGCTAAAAAATTGAAACACATATCCTTATTCAAAATGAAAAGGGATAATATTTTTAATGTTTAATTATGTAAATTATTAAGTAAACAGAGGGAAAACAATTGTGGTTACAATTAATTAATATTAAAACTTAAATGAGTGTTTAAAATTACCCGAATACACACACAAAATATTTTTTAACAAAAGCACTGAATAATATATTTAATTTTTTGTGTTTTTCATATAAAATTTTTTCGCTGTGATACTACAAAGGCATAGAGACTATAAAAAAAAAGAATAAATATTTCACTCATCATTGTGTTGTTTAATGAGCTTAAGTGATGAAAAGAAATAATTAATTTCATTGCTAAAGGATATTGACAAGTATTTAATGCTTGTCACATAATATTTAACTCACCTCATGGGTTTCATTAATGCCTTTACGTCATTGGGATATTCAATCATTAATTTAAGTTGCGTGCCGCCTTCTTTTTGTACTGCAAAAAAGGAAAAAAAATATAAAATACAAAATAAAATACAATAATGTTTAAATAAAAACATATTTAATTACAGGTATTTAATATAAATAAAACTTGTATTGGCTTAATTTTTGATACATGTTCATTTTTATAAAAAAACCTTACTTAAAATAAATATTTATTTTTATAATAGTTCACTGACCGCTCCAAGGCACTCGTGAAGTCTAGAGTCCTTTTATGGGAAACATTTTAATTAATAACAAAATATGCACATTCTCTGATGTAGTTTTTAATAAATGCAACCACTGCAAAACTATTAAAAGCTTAAACTTTTTGTCTTCTTAAAATTTGTAAAAGTTTTTTAAGTAAACCAGAAACAAGCAAGGAAGCCAGTAAGAAATTGCGCAAATGAAAATTGGTTTCCTTACACTAAACAGAATAACAACAGACTAAAGTTTTTGGAGAAAAAATAAACCAAAAATTATTGCAAGAAATACTTATATGAATATATTCATATATATATTGTACTATATGTAGAATATACTATATATCATAATATTCAAAAACGAGTGCAGTAAGCAAAGTTGCATAATAAAAATGTGAGTATAGAGTAAGGAAAATTAATTAATTGCACTGATTGGAGTAATTAGTAAAATTAAAGCAGAATTTTAACATTATTGTTGTCAATAGATTTCCATAATAATATATTCTATAATGTTTAAATTTCACAAAAATTGACAATGATCTGTAATTCAATCCGAATTACAACGCGTATCGAGCTAGATATACTGATGAGCTATATCGCGACATTGACTGCACTGAGCCTCATAACAAGTAGTTTTTTTGTTGTTTATATACAACAATTAGAACAATGTGTGCTTAACTATTCCCAAGGTGAAAGAGTGGGAATAGAAATGTTTCGTTCTATAACCGCTGTCGGTAAGCACGATAGAAGATGTCCACATCTTAGATTAAAAGATAAATTAACAAACGATTAGGCTTAGCTTGATTCTCAAGCTATAAATTGAACTGCCTGCTAGAAGCTATTACATACGAGGAAGTATCATACATATCTGGCTAATTAATTTAGAACGTTTATCGAAATTATGATCAATTTTAGTTTAACCATATTTCTAAAAGAATTTTTAATATAATAAGTAAACAATTTTATTCTTCAGTCAATAGAAGAGAAAAAATAGACGAAAACGACAAAAAGTTAGTTTGGTGCTCTTCTTCTTCTTTATTATAGGATTAAACTTGTTTTGTTACAACAATTGAATTGGATATATTTATGTAAAATTGTGACATATCAAATTATCATTTTCATGTTTCTGTAGAGCCAAACGTCTAGCATTCACGCCATCTCTTCGGCGGTCGATCGGGTAATCTCGCGAGTCGCGACTGTTGGTTTCTTTACCATTGCAATCTTGGCCAGGCGATAATTTTCCATTCTTAGTTTGGTGTTAAGAGTACAAAAGTGTAATATAATTTTTTAATATACTTATTGAATTGTTTGTATAATTATTTAAACTTAGCAGAAGAGTGTTTTTAACTACCTGTGTTAAGTCATTTTTGTTGTACTTATTAGCTGAGATGTACTCTTACTTGCATTCATTTTCTTGTGCTCTTTTGCTGTTTTGGATATATATTACTCAAGAATAAATCAGTCGTATGTGAACCTCTAAAGTGTGTTCTTTTTTTTTCTTAGTTAAAGAAAATGTTTTTTTTTGCTCTCGATAGAATTGAAGAACAGGAAAAACTATTATATTCAATAGTTTTCAAAAACTAATACATTTGTAAAATGCCTTTTTGTTAGTTTAGATTACTGGTCTTTCTTTAATATTAAGCCATTTTTAAAAGAATTTCTTCGTATATATCTTTCTAGCGTATTAGACAAATCTATCTAAGTTGCATTATTTGTAAACAAAATTTTTTTTTGCGTCAAATGCCAAAATATACACATACATTTATGTTATTACATTTGAACATGCTTAAAGTATTTTTCGAAAAGAACATTAGACACTTACCTCGTACAATACAAAGATAAACAGAACAACAAAACCACAAAGCACAACAATAAAATATCTTAACAGAAATTATAATTTGCAACAATGATTTGGTTATATGATCTGATATATATACACACATACACATATGTGTGAATAATAATACGCAGATGTTGTACTCGTATATATGTATGTATTTGTAAATAGTACATAAACAAATAACATTTTCGAACAGAGTTGAAGTTTTGAAAATTGCACTTGTATTAGTTTGGCATGCAAAATAGCTAACATCGGCACAGGCACAGGCACAGGCACGGGGACGGGCACGGGCACGCACACATCGTGCTTGTACATGTAAATGTTGTTCGCATTTCCTTTACACAAATTGTTAGAAATTAACAATTTTTGTGTGTGCAAATGCAGAAAGTTTTGTGCCTTTCCAGTTAAAAAGTTTGCTTGCAATGGAAGATACTTGATACATTGTTATTTGTTGTTCTATTGCTGTTTTGAATTTCGTACTGTTGTTTTTTATTATCCTTGCAATTTGTTGCATACACTCATACACTCATACACTCATACACTGATACACTGAGACACTGACACACTTGCACATTGGTACGTGCTATATGTTTTTTGTTGCACTGTGCTTAGTTGTACTGTACGGAGAAAAGTTTAATTTTTGAATTTTTGAATTTTCTATTGCAATGCAGCAAATGCACATTGTAAATCTTCTGCGAAGGAAACAGCAGGGATGTGATAAAGCATCTAACAATATAATCAGTGCATAAAAGTTGAAAACGAAACTAGTAGTAGTTCCTTGCCAGAAAAGGTACATAATAATTGGGTAAATTGTATAATCAAAGAGTTTAAGTTGATGTTAAAGTTTGTGCACTGCAAGCAAAAAACATAAATTTGCTACAAGATATCAAAATTAAATAATAAACGCACTCCGGACATGCAGCAATTTGCATTTTGAACAGCAACAGCTTTGAATAAAAAAAAAAAAATCGTATCATAAGAAAGTACCAAACCAATTGAGATTCGTAATTTTATACAATTTAAAATGAATATAGTCAGGAATTATTGAATCATAAGAACCGTAAACGTTTTGCTTTGCTTTTAGAAATGATAGCAAATTAAATATGAACATTTTAGCAAAAAGTGAAAATTACAAGAATTTAAACCAAATGAGAATTTTAGTTTTTGCATTACACAAAATGAATTTGATTAAAAAAGAAGTTTCGAAAATGAAATCAGTTTTTAATAGTCATAATTTCAGATTATATACGCTAATATGAAAACAATACAAATTTTATAAAATTAATTTTTAATATTCATTGTTCCAGATCTTGGTACAACTTTGCTGCATTTATAAATGTTGTATATTCCCTAATAAAGTTTAAAATGTGGTTGCCATATTATTAATTTGATATATACATTAAAAGTTAATGTTCCAGTAAACTACTTTACGATACAATTTATTTATGAACTTCGTAAAGTAAACTTCGTTAAACTAAAATTTCATTTCTGGGTAAATACTCACCGACGTGTTGTATTGGCAACTTAATCATATCACGTATCACAGCATCCACAAAAGTGTCATTCTCACTATAAAGTTCCTTTTTGGAGATGCGCAACTGGAAACGTTCTAAATTGCTGGCATTTTTACTATAATGAAAAAAAAAATAAAATTTTAAAATGTTATATAATAGAAAATACAAAATCTTGTAAAATAATAAAACAAAATAATATAATTGAAGTGTGAAATATTAAATAAAAAAATATATAATAAAATTAAATTAAATAAAACAATTCCCTTGGGGAATTATGCAGATCTGAGGTCAATTATTGCTTAGTCTGATGAAGTGATAAACAATAAATAATAAATAAAATAAACAGTCAAGGCGTAAAGAGGGCTTTTAAAAATACCTCGAGTTAAGAAAGAGTAAAAGTGCTCAAGTGCACTGGCTTGAATAGCTTCAACATAATTAATTAAAATAAATTAATTAATTAAAATATAAAAATTACAAGAGCGTTTTATATACGTTTACTTTCGGAACCGCAATGGATAATCTTGTATGCTACTTGCTACTGCATGTATATAAGCTAGTTTTTTCATACATTTTTATAATTAAATTTGAATAGGAATAAAACTAAAAAAGAAAGTACTTTAAGTAACATTACTTTAAGTACGAACATAAAAATCTG